TGAAATGACAGCAGCTGGTATTAAAACCTGGGAACAGGCCATGTGTGGTGGCACACTTCTATAATCCCGATGACTCAGAAGGCTGAGGCAGGAGGATCGCAAGATCAAAGCCAGCCTGGGCAACTTAGTGAAACCATGCCCCAAAATAAGAAATAAAAAGGTCTGAGAATGTGGGTCAGTGGTAGAGCACCTCTGGGTTCAATTCACAGTACTGCTACCAATCCCAATCCAAAATTTAGGAACAAAGACATACACAGGTCAGGGACTCTGTTAGGCACCAGAGATTCAAGATGGCTATGTGGTACCAGGAAGAAACTAAGTGGATGAATTTATCAGAGCTTCTTAAAATGTACCTTCCCCACCCCAAACTAGACTCTATCCCTGCTTTTTGTTTTTTTCCCAAATTAGACCTTTTTAACTTCTGCTTCTCTAACAATTTCCTCCTTCCAGAAGCAGCAGGTCCTCCCTGAGCTGTGACAGTCCCATTCAGGAGCTACCTGGCTGGAGCAGCTACTAATCACCAACTTCATTCCTTAGTACCCCCACAAGGCCTTCCAAGTCTCCCAAAAATTCAGTTAGATCTTCCAGTTACATACTTCTTTCTTCTTTGTTTTTTGGGGGGGATACTGATTGAACGCAGGGGTTACAGGCACAAGGACGCAGCTCAGTTGCACACTTTCTTTACTGCTTGCCCTTGTCCTAATAATATTCATAGCTCTTCATGTGCTGAGTACTGCTCCCAACAGGGCACAGCGTGGAACAAGAACTCAAAGATACCTGACACATGATTGAACACACACACACACACACACACACACACACACACACACACACACACATATTTATATGGAGGGTAAGCCAGGCCCTTTCTTCCCTCTCTGCCTATCTCTCATAAAGTAAGTTAACAAATAGGAACACATTGGACTGATAAAATGAAATAATATATGCAAACACACTTTTAACATCATGAATGTGGGAATTACAAATATATATGAATACAGTAGTCCCTCCTTATCTGTGTTTTTTATTACCCTCACCATGAACCAAAACTATTAAATGGAAAATCCTAGAAATAAATAATCCAGATGAGCATTGGCACATGGCTATAATCCCAGTGATTTGGAAGGCTGGGGCAGGAGGATTGCAAGTTCTAGGCCAGCCTCAGCAACATAGCAAGACCGTTTCAAAATAATAATAAAAATGGCTGGGGATATAGCTCAGAACCCTTGGGCTTCAACCCCCAGTACCAAAAACATAAAATAAAAAATAGATCATAGAAAGTAGAAAGGTGGTTCTCAAGGGCTGGGGGAAGGGAGAGGGAATTATATTTAATGGGTATAGAGTTTCAGCTATACAAGATGAAAAAAGTACAACAGTGTAAATACATATATAAGAATGAATATATATATATATATATAAGAAATTATTCCCAAGACAGATAATATTCTTTCAGAATATCCAGAAGGTAAAGAACAAATGAAAAATAAGAAGAAGGGAAAGGAGAAGAACCAGTCAATAACACAGTCCGTGTATTTAGCTCAGAGTCCACACTGGGTGCTAGGAAGAGGAAGGAGCAGAAATATATCAAGCTGCAAGAGCCCTGGCTCCAGGGAGGAATATGCACACCCTCAGGCAGAAGCCCTCGCTCTCTCAGTGCTTCTACCTCTGGAAAACAGGGGTGGTCTTCACGCTGCATCACAGCACCGTGCTCCAGTCAGGATCAGAGAGACCAGCATCTACACAATATGACAAGACACACGCAGCTCACACATAACTCTCTGTGACTATCACAACTGCTGATCTCGGAGGACTACCCACGGCTCTGGMCAAGCTCTGAGGCCTGTGGCTTCAGAGCCCACAAATGCACCCAGCAACCAAAGCCAGCGGTGTCCTGCCCAATGTTACCCTGGCACCCTTTGATATGAAAGGATCACATCAGAAATAGTCCTTTACACAGAAATTCCATGCCCTAGTTCTTGACAGCTGTAATTACAGCCCAAACAGCTTTTGAAAGGGAAAGAAAAAAGACACAGAGAGAGAGGGGAAAAAAAACGAACAGCCTGGACTTCGCAGTGAATTGCAGGGTTTGGTTAAGACATGCAATCAGAGCACTTGCTGTTAATGGTGGTCAGTATAAACAAAAGACTGGACAGCGGACAGCCAGACCAAACAGCTTTCTGGCCAATTAATCTCTCCCTCTAACTTAATGAGCTGCTCATTAAGTGCTGGAAGCAGCTCTAGGGAAGGGGCCTACAAGAAGAGGCACATGGGCTGCAAGAACTGGCAGGTGATAAACAAAGAGGAGACAGAGGCCACAGTCCAGTCCCAAATGTCTCCAGACCCCATGTCCAGTCTTCTCTTGCTTCCAGGTGATGTTTTCCTGTGCTTCCGTTTATTCTGAAAAGTTGTGTTTCTAGCTGGGCACAGTAGTACATGCCTGTAATCCCAGCTGATGAGGACACTGAATCAGGAGGATCACAAGTTCAAGGACTGCCTGGGCAATTTAGCAAGACCCAGTCTCAAAATAAAAACAAAAAGGGCCAGGGTGTGGCTCAATAGTAAAGACCCTCTGGGTTTAACTCCCAGTACTGCAAAAATAAATAGATAGATAGATAATGAAAAAGGTGGGGGTAGGGGAGTGGCTCAGTGGTAGAGAACCTCTGGGTTCAATCCCCACCAACACCACCAAACAAACAAACAAAAAAGTCAAAGTTGTGTTTCTGCCACTGACTCCCTTTTTGGAGAGTTGCCATGTCGTAATTCTTGGTTCTCCAGCTGGTATCATGATTCATTCAGTATCACAAAGAGCCTCAAGCAGGAGTTCAAAGGGGACATGGAGTCTTAGGTGTGAATCCCATCTATACCTGTTCACAGCAGCATGGATTATTTAACGTTCCCAAGGTTTCATTTCCTCATCTGTAAAACGAAAAATAAGCTGGGTACAGTGGTGCACACCTGAAATCCCAGCAATTCAGGAGGCTGAGGCAGGAGGATCACAAGTTTGAGGTCAGCCTTAACAACTGAGCAAAGGCCTTAAGCAATTTAGTGAGACCTTGTCTCAACATAAAAAGTAAAAAGCACTGGGGTGTAGCTCAGTGGTAAAGTGCCCCAAGGTTAAAGCTCCAATACCAAGAATATTTAAAAAGTAATAATAATAGCCTCACCCCATATAGTCAAATAGTAAATAATAAAACATTGTTTTAATATCAAAACACCTAGCAAAGCACTTGATAATAAGTAGCTATTACTACTAGTAGCTACTATTTGTAGACATATTACTTTCATGAAGAGAGTGATATTAGCAACATATTCCATCCTCAAACACAAATAAAAGAAGGACTTTATTTGATTGACATGCCAGCTACAGGTCAAGCCCTTCTGATCACAACAGCAACAATCCTAACAGTAGAAACACTCCCAAATATTCCCTAGACAAGGCTTTTGAGATTTAAAAAWTTTTCAATTTTATTATTATTATTATTTTAAATTTTATTTTATACTGGGGATTAAACTCTGGGGCACTCTACCACTGAGCCACATCCTCAATCCTTTTTATTTTCATTTTGAGACAGGGTCTCACTAAGTTGCTCAGACTGGCCTCAGCCCTGTAATCCTCCTGCCTCAACCTCCAGAGTCTCTTGGAAGACAGGTGTGTGCCACTGAGCCTGGCAAGCCTCTATGATTTCTATCTCAGAAGGCAAAGGAACAGAAGAAGTGGTCTGGAAATACTGAGCAGCAAGCCTGCAACCTAAAGGATGGAAATTAGCATGTTCCGATGAGGCCAAGTGAAGAAATGCATTCAGGCCCTGTGTCTGCCCCTTCCTGGACCTCTGTGACACCTCACTATACCTTTCTGAGCTTAGTTAACCTAGAAAATCAGGGTGACACGATCCCCCCCACTTCACAGCTTGCTGTGAGCATTAAAGGAAATTCCTCATGTGGAAGTGCTTTGAAGCTACTTGCTCATAAGTCCATGAAAAACAGGATTGTTATAGTTAATACTAGTCTCAATGAATTTAACTTCATAATTTAAAAAAATGGGAAGATTTAGTCACTAAAAAATTATTTTGTTAGACTCACGAACTGCTCAGAAAAATAGCGGTGAACGGCTTATTTTTACTCCCAACATTGCTGTGATTGAGTTGAAGTTTCTGTTGATCAGATGAAGAACTGACTGAAAACAAAACTAAGGTAGCAAAACAAAGGTCCAACCCTCTTTAGTTGAGGAGATTTTTCTAAAGGACAACAAGCAATGAGTTCAAACCAGGCTCTATCCAGAGATGACTCAGTCAGTCACCTCTGAAACTAATTTTCTTTAAAAAAAAAAAAAAACTTAATCCATTTGATTAATCCCAAACCTACCTTTAAACTGCACAGGTCTAAGGTAATTTCTCCTGTTTCAGTGCAGAGCACATGGATAACTTTCCTTCATGGTGGACAGAAGACAATTTRCTTCTCATTCAATCTCTGCTCTGTATACCAGAGGCAGAAAGCTATAAGTTGGAATTTACACCAAATTCTTCAAATAGAGTACACAAAATGGCAGGAGAGATGCACACAGAGCAGGCACCAAGGAAATTTGATTGAAATCTCAGTTATTCTTAAAAAGTCAAGCAAATCTCATATTCTACGCCACATAAACTACCTTTTTTCAAAAAACATTTTGAGTCGATTACCAGCCAATTACTTTCCCTAAAATCTTTCAATATGAGCAACACTTGACCATTCTCCTTCGCTGTCTGACCAACCACCACTGTGTATCACAGCGTGCAGGCCACACCAGGGAAGATGGTACCTCTCAGCCAGCACATCCATCCATTTTAACCTTAGCCTTTTATCAGGACCTAATTCAGAATCACTTCCTGGATGATATAGGGAAAGGGGTCTGGGGCCTGCAAGTGTGTAGTCATCCAATCTGGCACCTCCAGCACCATCTGAAATGAACAGAAGCTAAGGTRCTTGAATTCTAGCTCCACACATCACCACCACCAACCACTCACCCGTATTCGTCTCATGGCAGCCACGATCTCCACCCTGCTGTTGGGTCTCGGCACATCTAGGCTTCCTACGTACTGTCGGGAAGAAGCAAACACACAGTGAGAAGAGGAAGAGCAAGTGTCCCTAACAACAGAATGTTYGTGATGGACAGCCCTTTGGAAGTCACCCAGCTCATCTCTCCAGTTTACAGATGAGAAAATTAAAAGCCAAAGGGGTGTTTTGTTGGGGGGAACTTTTTTTTCCCCAATACTGGGGATTGAACCCAGGGGTGCTCTACCTCTGAGCTACATCCTCAGCCATTTTTAATTTTTACTTTTGAGACCAGGTCTCGCTAAGTTGCCCAGACTGGCCTCAAACTTGCAATCCTCCTGCCTCAGCCTCCTGAGTCACTAGGATTACAGGTGTACCACCACACCCAACTCATTTTCAGGTTCTTTCTAACTTTATAAAAAGCAACCTAATCAGATATTTCTATTTCCTTTTTTATCAGAGATGCAGYAGAGCACTGTGTTTAGCCAAGCAGGCTTCCAAATAAGAAAGACTCCAGTGTGAAGATTCTCACCACTATTCTTATGGCAAGGCATTTCACCTCTTTTGTCTCAATTTTTTCACCTGAAAGTTCAACTGCTTTAAAAATCTCTTATAAAAAAAAATGCTTGACAAATATTAATGAGGGAGAGGGACATGGGTTGTGGTTATAGCTCTGTGGTAGAGCATGTGCTTTGCACTTATAAAGGCCCTGGGTTCAATCCCCAGCACTGCACTCCCCCCCCACCCCCGGCCAAAGAAAATAAGACAGAAGCTACTTAATGGAACTTTATAAGCGAGCCCCAGAGCCCTAGATATATTAGAGACCTAATAACATTTGAATAAGTTCCTGACCATAGGGAAAGAATGTTTGCTTTTTTAGTGGCACTAGGGATTGAATACAGGGGCCTCCTACATGCTAGCAAGCACTCAACCACTGAGCTATATTTCCAGCCCTTTTTTATTTCATTTTTAATTTTTGTTTATCATTTACTTATTTTTGCAATACTGGGAATGGAACCCAGGGACATTCAACCATTGAACCACATCCCTGTCCCTACCACATTYTTTCTTTTTTGATATAGAATCTTATTGCTAAATTGCTGTGCCTTGAACTTATGGTCCTCCTGCTTCAGCCTCCTGAGTTGCTGGGATTATACACATGTGCCACTACATTTGGTCCTACTTATTTATATAAAGACAGGGTTGTCCAGGATGGCTTAGAACTTGCAATCCTCCTGGCTCAGTCTCCCAAGTAGTTGGGTTTTCAGCCATGCATCACCACACCTGACTTTAATAGTTTTTATTAAAATATTTAACCTGATTATACTTTTATTTTTAAAACCAAATTACAGGGCTGGGATATAGCTCAGTGGCAAAGCATCTGCCTTGCATTCGCAAAGCCCTGAGTTAGACCCCCAGTTCCAAAAAAAACCAAAAAAAAAACAAAAACAAAAACAAAAAAGAACCCCCACCAAAATCAAATTACATATTTCTTGCCATAAACAATTCAAATAAGTAACAGAAATATGCAGAGCAAATCATTAAAGTTCCCCCTCCCAATAGTTATTGATGTACCTCTCTCTTTGTATATGAAGAACATAGATTCATAGAAACAAGGGAGATTTATTCTATGTAAAAGGTTCACATTATACTGTTCTCCAACATGTTTTTTGTTTCTGTTTTTACTTTTAGTATAACCTGGGCATCTGTCTACACCACTGCATACAGGTCAATCTCATGCATGTAATAGTTTCCCTACTGATRAGCCCTTAAGGCAATGCTACTATGCTTCCATGATGTCACCTTTTCTATACCTCTTTGAGCTCATCCAAGTAGCTCTTTAGGCTGAATTCCTAGAAGTGAGATTGCTGGATCAAAAGTATAGATAATCTCTAGGTATCATTCCTTATAAGGATGAAACAAAAAAGGGGACATTCCAACACATAGACACATATGAAGCATATAGATTCAGTGAGATTTGCTTTTCTTGTTTATATACAAATCACATAAAAATAGTATAAGAGATATCCAAGAAATTAACATCCTCAGAATAACTTTAAGTCTACCAAGCAAAGACTGCATTAATAGGAAAGGCAAGAATAGGACCATCGCAGGGGACCATTGCAATTGCAATCCCAGTGACTAGAGAGATTGAGGCAGGAGGATCACAAGTTCTAGGCCAGCCTGAACAACTTAGTGAGACGYTTATCTCAAAATAAAATAAAAGGCTGGGAATGTAGTTCAGGGATAGAGCTGCCCTGGATTCAATCCCTAGTACTGCCAAGAAAAAATAGGAGGGCCATGTGTGCAGGAAAGTTATTTCCTGTAATTTTGGAAAAATAAAGTTTTCTCCCCACATTTGGAGCTAAGACCTGGTGCCAGTAAGGAGAGTTTCAAAAACTAAATACTGCAAATGGATTTCCCCTAGTATTGATCAGTGGTTTGTGCTGATACGGGAAAGAACATGATTCTGAGCAGCCAGTGAGCTGGCCGGTAAGCAGCATGCCCCCGGGGACAGCACCACCATGGCACACAGAGAGCGACACATTTATTGATAAAGGACCTTACAATTCACCAGGGTTAAGACAGCCCCTAGATCCAGTGGTGTGGTCTGATTTAACTACGACTGGCATTCTCCCCGCTGAGCTCTGCTGGGGCCAYGCGGTCTGTCAATATGTCACTGACCCACACAGCCAGGAATGACGTGAGGCCCTGGTTTGTGATTGCCCAACTTCAAAGGTCCAGAGGGCAGTTTCCACACTCCTTCTCTGGAATGCCACATGGCTGATCTCTCCTGCCCTGAACTCTGTATAATCAGGAACGTGGGCCTTTAGGGGCTTGTGTTCCCCTCCGCCATCACATGAGGGTCAGGACCTCAGGACTGAGCAAGGTCATCTGTTATGGAGGAGCACGGAAGACGGTACCATCCTCCCACACTGATCCCTGCTAGCCCAGGAAAGAAGTTGCTGCCCAGTGAGATCCACCACTGAGCCTGAACACAAACACCCACAGGGGACCCATTCCCTCCCTCTGCCCCACCCAAACCCATCTCTCCCTCCTCAGGGAGGGTGCTGCTAGACAGGGAAAGCTGAAGCAGTCAGGATACAGGGGAAAGAGACTTCTGGGTTTCCTCACAAGGGGACAGAACTCTGTGTGTGAAGGACTTACACTAAAGATGCCTAACATCTTCGCTAGACAAGTGCCTCTCTCACTCCATCAGCCCCCACCCAAGCTGGTACATGTGCACACACACCACACGCCTCCACACACACTTGCTGTAATGTGCTCACACATCTCCCAAGCCACCCACCCACCTCACACTGCACACCCACTAATACATCACACTCACTCTTCTTCCTTCCTTTCCAATTGTGTAGACAATCACGAATCTTCCCTTCTAAGAATGTGTATGAAGCAGATAACCTACCTCCACTCAAGTGCACATTAAGATCATYCAAGGAGACTAAAAGAACATACAACCTAGGAATCATGTTTACACCTCCTAGACAAAAGCTAAAAATCCATTAATAACATGAATCAAGCCAGGTGCAGTGGTGCACAGACGCCCGGAATCCCAGTGACTCAGGAAGCTGAGGCAGGAAGATCACAAGTTCAAGGCCAGCATCAGCAACTTAGTGAGATCCTCCACAATTTAGTGAGTCTGTCTCAAGATAAAAAACAAGGGGGGCTGGGAATGTAGCTCAGTGGTAAAGCAGCCCTGGATTCAATCCCTATTACTAAAATAATAATAATAACATGAATCAAAAAGAGAACCACATGCAAGTTTAGCAAGAAAGGGTTAGAAAGCCAACTTCTCCGGGCAAAACCCAGAGGGTATGATAAGTGAGTATACCTTTCTTTATGTGTATGACACTATAACCAAAATTATCTAGTAACTAGCCATTACATCCACAACTAATGTTAGTCTGTCCCCAATCCTCTGTCTTTAAACCAATGGGCACTCTACCAATGACCTACATCCTTACCCTTTTTTTATTTTTTTATTTTGATACAGGTCTTGCTAAACTGCTGAAGCTGCCCTCCAACTTGCAATCCTCCTACCTCAGCCTCCTAAGTAGCTAGGATTACAGGGATGCCCATCAAACTCAGTCCTAAGCCTCTGTCTTGAGCAAAATTTGAGTGACACTCTGAAATTAGACCCACTTGCTGGAGGGAAATCCTTAAGATCACTCAACTTTGGTGATCAATATCACCACCATTTCTGTGGTAAACTAAACCTATGAGAGTAGCCTCACTCTCTAGATTGGAAAGTTGTTCCTGGGACTAAAGCTCATCCCCCAGCTGAGCTAACAACCTTCAGAAATGGAGATTTCTGTCACTGCCTCCAGGGATCAGGCAAAATCAACTCCCTGCCTTCAGCCAAAAGCTGAAGCTCCATGGCAAGTTTCACTCAAACAGGGCCCTTCCTTTATCTCCCCCTTCTTCAGAATACGGGAATCAAGTGCTCCTAGGATAAGGTGAGTTGGACCAATCATCTCCCACATCGTGCTCCTCTCCTAGCTTCCKTGCCCTGATTATCAGCCCCCAGGAATCCCACCTGTGTATCAAGCCTAAAAGCTGGGTATCATCTTTGAAAGGTTGTTCCCTTAACCACCTGTTTATCAGTGACTTCACCTCTCTGTCTACATTGCCACCACCAGATCCCAGAAAACCTTACTCTCTCACTTCATCTGCACAACGGCCTCCTCTCCGGCTTCTCCTCTGCCTCTAAGACTCTCCCCACAAGGCTTCCAGAAGGATCTCTTTAAAATGCAGATTAGATCCTTTTACTGCCTTGCTTAAGAATCTCCCATGCTTGCTTCCATCTGCTCTAAGGATGACAGTCAAAATCCTCAGCACCGCCTACACAGTGTGCATGCTCTCACATCAGTGGCTCTCCAATTAGTTTAAAGTTCCTTGCTGGTGAGGTAGCTCAGTGGTAGATCTCTTGTCTAGGATATGTGAACCCCAGATTCAATCCCCAGTATAGGAGGTAGGAGGACACAAACTGCTCAAAACAGACTTTATATCCTCACATTACAGG